CATTACTTTTGGTCCCTTAACAAGTGGGAGGCACATATGCAAACTGCTGTAAGTCCTACACCGTTCACCTGAGTTGGATGTACATACCCTCAAATTAAAGCTGACAGTCTGCAGTTAACGCACATTGTGTTTGTTTCATTCCAACTCCATTGTGGTGATGTATAGAGCCAAAGATGTTAGAATTGTGTCGATGTCCCAATATTTCTGGACCTGACTGTATATTGCTCTAGGCTTGTCTAGAGTGTAAAATGCAATCTATACAATTTACTGTATGTGCTATACTGTATATACATACATACCACAGTATGTATTCAGGGGTGGACTGCTGGGGGTTCATAGGGGTTCGGGAGAACCTCTAGCTAAGATTCTGTGCAGTTTGGAGAACCCCCAAATCCCAGTCCTGGCTGGCCCCGCCCACCCTGCCCTGCCCCTCCCAGGAGTCCCCATGTGGCCTGTTTTGAATGCAGGTAAGTGCAGGCACACATGAAGGCTCAGGAAGGGTGAAAAATGAGCCTACTGAAAATTCAGGAAGTCTGGGGAAGTTATTTTCACCCTCCCAGAGGCTCAAGGAAAACCTCCAGAGCCCGGGGAGGGCAAAAATGCCCCCCCACCCCGCTGTGGTGCAGGAGGCCAACTAGGCCACACCCATCATGACCACACCCACCCAGCAACTGGGCAGAGAACCCCTTGCTAAAATTTTTGAAGCCCACCCCCGTATGTATTGCTTTCAAGCTGACTTGTTCAGCTGGGCTTATAAAGCATTATCTTTGAAAACTTTGATTGCACTAATAAAGAGAATCATAATCCCTGGTTGCTGGACCTGCATAATCATTTTCAGGTCTCTTCCTGGTGGGTGACTTCAAGAGAAGGATTTTGATTCAACACTCAGGGGAAAGGAGGTAGAGAAGATCAGTCTTCCATAGATTTTGAATCAATTCCATTTTAAATTGCTTTTATCAAATTCTAGTGTAAGGTCCCAAAATACACTTGAGTCACCAGAATGCCAAAGAGAGAGACTCAAGACGAGGCTTGCAAAAAAACAGATTTTATTTATGGCCAAAAACAAAATACTGGGTGGAACTATATCCAGAACATACAGATACAATGCATGCGAGGAAATAGCCACACCTTGGGGAAGGTGTGGCGTTCTTTTATACCCTCAGAGACGTCAGCTTAGTACCCAACTCTGGCCTCCCAATCCAGGCCCGTGCATTCCTTGTTGCCCTGCAAGGGGGAATAGAAACTTCCCAATTAGTCATCTTGAGCATTTCTTTGTTTACTCAATTGGCTACTTTGGCCCCCTGGCCCTGGAAAGTAGGAGTCTATCCAGATCAACATAAATTAGGACTGATGTGTAAATTATCCCTTGGAGATACGTACCATGCTCTTAGATGGCAAAGAAAAAAACAGGGAGAAGATTGATATGGGTTTAGGTCAAATGGCAGGGACATATGTTTGACAAATACCAGATACATTACAGGCCTAATAACAGAATATGTTTGTTACAGGAGATACAAATATAAAGGCATATACTAATGGTTACAGAATCTAGTATACTAGTATATCATATTCTAGTATTATTTATTATATCCTTATTATTGTTTCCCTTCACTAGTAATGATTTGTTTCTGGAACTCTGCACTTCGATATGGCCCAAGGGCTATTCAATAAATAAAGAATTTGAAGAATTTGAATTTTGAATGGCAGTTTTAATCAAGAAATGATAAGTGGACTTCCCATTGAGGAGAAAATACTCACTAACCTAAAGAACAGATAAATTGTCAGGAGAACCATATTGTCTCCCAGTATCAAAATCCAGGATATTATAAGAGAATCATACATTGGGTCTTGTTTGATATGACCTATTAATTGGGAAATAAGTAAGACAAAACACAGAGAAAGACCATGTATAGCAGGAAGTTAAAGCCAAGGCAAGTGCTGAAGGAGGGTGCTAAGATTGAAGGTAGAGTCCCCAAAATTAGACCAGATACAGGTCCTCATCCATCCTCTGTGAATGTGGTTCACAAATGGTCTAAACAGGGAGAGAGAGTAAGTGACAAGAGTAGGAGGAAGAGAGGAAAGAAATGATTGGGAATAAGAACCGAAAAAGAATACACAGAATAACACAGAATACACAGAATAAGATAGTTGGTGTTTCCATGTTGGGAACTTGATTTTGTAGGAAAGGTAAAAACAAAGGTTTTAAGTTTGATAACTTCTTTTTCAATGTGGTAGATTTAATAATATTACCAAATGCCTTGATTAGAATTGCCAACTATGATTCTGTGTGATTCCCAATATGGAAAAAAAATTTAAAAAAGAAATGACAAAGTGGGATAAAAATATTTACATATTCTGAGTTGAATTGTGGCAGTTAAAATGATGGCTCGTTCAGGATTAAATGTTTTATTTCCAGCTTTTCTAGTAGAAGTACCAAATAAAATCTGGCAAAGAAAAAGATGTTTTTTTTTTAATTTCAGAAATTAAACAGTGAAGAATTAATAGAAACATATATAGACCTTAGAAACAAGGAGGATGTACACTACTAAATATACTATCAACATCAAGATTTGAGGCACATCATTCCCTTTACATTGGAAAACTATGTAAGAAAAAGCTTGGAGTGGTGAACATTTATTTGTCTGTCCCTCTCTGTCTGTTTATGAGCTATTTCTTCCCTTTGTTTTCTCTCCAGTGACTTTAAAGCAACGGGCAGCTCACAAACAGTAGTAAAAGCAATAACAGCTGTAAAAAAAAAACCATAAAAATCAGCAAAGAACCTCCCAGTTTCCCCAAATGCAAGCCATCCCCTCACATCCGTTAAACTTGAGAACTTCTCTGAGATCCAGCCTCACACGACCTCAACATTTCCATGCAAAAGCAAAATTAACTTCAAAGCTTGATCTTACCAGATCAAGGGTATGTCACAGACAAGAAGAAGATAGCTGAACTATAAGAGACAAACAAGTAGTCCTCAACTTACAACAACTCATTTAGTAACCGTTCAAAGTTACAAAGGGTACTGAAAAAAGTGACTTAAGGCAACTGTTCAAACTTATGACCATTGCAGCATCCCCATGGTCATGTGATCAAAAGTCATGTGATCAAAAATCATGTGATCAACGCTTGGCAACGGACTCATATTATGACAGTTGCAATGTTCCAGGTCATGTAACCTTTTGACAAGCAAAGTCAATAGGAAAGCCAGATTCACTTAACAACCATTTTATTAATTTAACAAATGCAACAATTCACTTAACAACTGCAGCAAGAAAGGTGGTAAAATGGGGCAAAACTCACTTAACAAATGTTTCGCTTGGGCAACAGAAATTTTGGGCTGCATTGTGGTTGTACGTTGAGGACTACCTGTACCCCAAATCTGTGGATACTTTATTCAATATGAAAAACCTCTCTAAATCAGAGGTTCTCAAACTCTGGGTCAGACTTTCTAGAGAAAAATGAACAAATTTAAGAGAGGGTTCAAATTAAATCAGTCTTGCGCATCAAAAAACTCATCTGGTGTGAAAATTGGCTTTATATCTTCCTGAATCTGGGGTGATCATATGAAATGATTCCTCTTTTTAAAGAATAACAGCACTATATGATTTTTTTATTTGGCAAGAATAAATTCTATAAAAGGGCGAACTTTTTCCCCCATCTGGATTTAGGGTACAACATGTTGGAGAATATGTTGGAGAATAAAATTGCTGATTTTAAGACATGGCTCCTTGTCTTGGGGGGGGGGGATTTTGTTGCGGAGGGATATTTTCTTTCTCTCCCTATCTTGGATTTGAACTTTATTGTGCAGAAGAAAAATGAGGGTGTCTTGCAAACAGAAAGAAATTGAGATGGTGGAGCTGTGAAAAATGCAGGCAGAGAGCTATCATAATGAGTTTTGCTCAAGTGGATGGTTGAGTAGAGCATCCATGCTAAGGGGCAGTCTACCAACCTCTTGGATAAAAAGGAAAAATCTGATCCTTTAACTTTATTCAGAGCCAGATCCCTCAATATTGGAACTAGTCTAAAAGAGAGTCATGTGATTTGGGGCCCTGCATCATTAAGCTAGGCAATATTTTCTTTGGGTAGAATCTTTTCTATAAACACATTATTATTATTATTATTTGTGGCCTGAATTGCTGTATGAGAAATGATGTCTGAGTTTAAAAACCTCAGGAGAGAATTTCTCTGCTCTCTTTCTATGTCCTTAAATTCAGCACCATCTTAGAATAGCTTGGCATGCAGAAAAAGGTATCTGCACCTAAGCAGATAGAAGAGAGGGAGCTGACTCTAGACCCAGCAAGGTTGATACACACACACACACACACACACACACACACACACACACACACAGAGAGAGAGAGAGATCTTGCAACACAACTGATTTTGACTGGAAGTTGACCAGAAGCTGCATGGGTGAGCCTTGCTTAGTCAGAGAGCTTAATGGAGCTCCTGTAGAAAAAGGCAGGCTACATACAAAGAGCTTTGGCTTCTGTAGCAAAAAGTGAGAAAGAGGCAGCTTGAGAGATTTGTTAGTAGGTTCCTAGAGATCTTTGGCTGCCAACAGTGTATGCAGAAAAGGTGGAGCAGATCCTTTGGTAGATCCCAAAGGAGGCCTTCAGCCCTCTGGGAATTCTAGTGGCTGTAGGAGGTCATCCTTCCAGGGTCAAAGGTCACCAACTGCCAGTTGTCACTGAGTAGAGCCAAGATGTTTTCGAAGACGTAAGTAGGTCTTCGGAAGGGCTGCTCTAAAGAGCTTCTCCATGTCTTTTCTTGTTTGGGAGGTGGAAGGTTTGTCCATGAGCCTTTGCCCTGGGATGGGGAAATGGAGAGGGGAAGGTAGAGGAGGGAAGGGAGGCCCTCAGGACTGGGCTCCTTCCCAGAGATTTACACAGAAGGAGCTTCTCTCTTTGCCCAGATGCTCCCTCTGTCCCAGACACAGAGCAGGTAGAGCAGGTGGAGTCTGGAAAAGGGGTTTTACTCCCTTCCATTCCTTTTCTTAGGTTCCTGAGATTTCGAAAATGTTGCAGAGAAATCTTCCAATGCTGTTGGGGGAGAATGAGAAGGAATGCCAGGCCAGCCAGTCCTTCAACCTCCACCTTGGAAGACGCAACAAATCTGTCTGGCCGAAGAAAAACGAAAATCACGATAGACATTGAGCTCCATAAAGTGGAGCAGCACGGTGAGTACACACTTTGGGTTGAAGGGGATGGAGAGGGAAAGGGAAGGAGCTCCTTTCGGAGTGGACTCCTCTCTGTAGGCATCTAGAGAAGCCAATTCTGCCTCTTCCTATACTTGAGGTTGCACTTAGGGGCTGGGCAGAACCAAATTGCTCCTGCTCCTCATGAAGCTTCTGAATCCACATTAACTTTCCATAAATTGTTCTGCTTCCATGAGACTCTTCTGGGAAACTTCACATTTGCTCAGTGGAGCCTATCTATATACTGGGAACTGGGGTGGGAGGATATAGAGAATGCAATAGGTCTTTCCCCTAAAATAGACATAGCCAGCAACCACAAAAGCCTTTGAATTGGGTCTCCGAGGGAAGGATGCTGCAAAGGGCTGATTTTAGTGTCCTTTCTTCATCTGGAGGTGATCTAAAACTTTGCTATGATTCCATCTTCTGTGTCTCCTTTCCCAGATTTCCCTCCAAAGGACAGCCGAGGGAAAGAGAAGGTCCTCTTCGAGAGGAAGGACCTTTTCCAAACAGCGCAATCAGAGCTGGCCTGTATAAGAAGAGACCAGGAAATAAGCCAATATTTGCGCCAAGTGGTCTCTGAGAGGAGGAGAGAGACGCAAATAGTAGGTACCCCTTGGAAGTAGAGGTTTCTTTCGCTGGGCTTTGCCTCCGGGTTTCAAACCCACTCTTTTTTGGCCCAATCTCAGTGTGGGGCAAAAGATTCCTTAGGATGGACAGAGTCTCAGAAGGGTTCAAGCTTTCCTTGTAAAAGGAAGCGCACTGGGGATTCTGGGAGAGTCCGTTGCCCTGACTGACAGCCAAACTCCTTTCAGTTGCACAGGAGCATCGCCTAATCCATGTCCTCAGTGTGATCATTGCACTGTTTCCCCTTAAGAAAAGTGTGCAAATGAGGGTCCCAGTGCCCGGAAATAAAAATGTGATGGGGAGGGGGTGAGTTAAGGATGATGGGGAGATATGAGAGGGAAAGGGAGAGGAGGAAAGCTACTACGAATTCTCAGAAAGTTTACCAAAAGCTCAAAAGGACCCTTAACAATTTTCCTTTGGACTGAAAGGTGAGCTGTTGCAGCAACATATCAGGTTAAAACAGGCTGGGACAAAGAAGATGTTCTGGAGCAACTTAGTTGAGCTTGACTTTTCTGATTCTCTCCTCTTTCGTTTCCTGGCAGGCTCTGTTGCAGGAGCACAGCTTTGTCAATGGATTAGCTGCATTGCTGGAAATGTATGATCTCAGGTCAGTCTATTGTTTCTTTTATAGTGGGTGAGAAAAGTCTGTTTGGGGTACTCAATCATTAAGAAGGGGGAGGGCATTCAGTTGAGCCAGTTTATCATATTCTTATGGGAAAAATGGAACGGAGGCTTGCTCATTAATATGGGCACTAATGTCTCTTCCTTCTTTTAATCCCACAGCAAGATAACACCAGAAAGGGACGAACCAATAAAATCCATGCTGATGGACATTTCCAGTTTTTATTGGACGGCTACCCTGGATGCAGAGGTGGAAGATCTTTCTGAGGTACCACTTTAACCAACATTTCTGGGATTTCCTTCCTAGTGTTGCATGGATGGGAAAATGTTCTCCAAAAGAAAGAGCACCATCTCTTATGTTTCCTTTCAGGTGGAGAAGAAGTTGCTGGAGGAGGCCTTTGGCCTAACAATGAGGAACCTACTCCGACAATCTCCCACGACAGAACAGTTTGTTTTCATTCTGAAGGTAAGGGTCCAGAAGTCCCATGGCAGTTCGAAGGGCAGTGAGATTCTTGATTCTCAGAAATGAGAAAACATGTCTTTTCTTTGTCAATTCCACAGCAACTGGACCCACGTGGGAAACTGTTTTTGCCGGCGATAAACCAGCTCCTGTCCTGTGGAAACCATCATTCCAGGATAGATGTACGCAGCAAAACTAAATTAACATAAATTGTAGCCTTTGAGTCCCCCGCAGCTCTTGGGACCCCACCCTCAAATAACCTCCCTCTTGGTGCCAGAGAGTGTGCAGGGGGGTCTTTTTTCTCTCATTCCACCTGAGGAAATTCTAGGAAGGATATCTTGCTGGTAATATGTGAGTGATGGGCCAAGGGAAGGAGAACTACTCTCCAAGAACCTTGGCAACACGGTGAGGGATTTTTTTTATTTTACAGCTCCAAGAAGTCCAGCAGGCTTTCCCTGATGTTCCCAGGGAAATCTGGCAGGCTGGAACCACCTACGAAAACATCAATGAAGGTAACTTTATTGAGAACACTAAGGGGAGGGGGGAAGGGTTACTTATGACCTGTCCTCTTAGTTACGACAGTCACATCAACCGTACACTAATTTCATCACATTTCAAGTAGTTGGCAAGAAGTTCAAATTTACAATCCTTTGCAGCATCCAATGGTTATGTGATTGCAGTTTGAGATATTTTCATTGTTTTAGCCCCCCCCCCCAAAAAAGGGGGGGGAACCAGCCACTGGATAATCTGCTTTTGGATTTACCACCATGTGATTCACTTAACAACTGTTGTAAAAACAGTTGTAAAATAGAATTCAGTCATGTGGCGACTTGATTTAAAACTGTAATTACTGATCATGCAAAGTTTGAGCTCCTTGTTGTCATAAATTGAGGACAACTCCCATAGATGGAAAACCTGTATATGTTTTCCACCTGTGTAGCCAAGAGATCAAATTTCAACATCTCTTTCTTTCAATTTTTCTCACCTTTTATTTCCATGCAGGAGACCTAGAAATAGAGGAGTTGTGACCTCGCCATTGAGCCACCTATGAAGAAAAGCTACCATCTCAGGAAATGGCCCTTTGGTTCTTCCTTCTATCAATTGCATAAATTATGTATAATAGTTGAAATTGATCTGTTAAAACTTCTGACTGTATAACAACTGTTGGTATCTGTGTTTGTAGATCACTGGAAGATCAGAACTCCCTCCTGCTGAAGGTTCCCTTGGGGTTTGGAAGATGGCACTGGGGCTGAAGATGCTGTGGAGCAGATGCCGACCATCATCGTTTTTAATATGCTGCAGCAGGTTGGTAGTATGCAGGGTTGGACTAAGAGATGGTTCCGTTTCTGCAAATGTGGGGTTTTGTTCTCTCAAGCCTATGGTTGATTCTGCTTTCTGCCCTGTGATTTGTCTCTTCTTAGGCTGTGTAGCAGCTTGGACAGAATTCCACGCGGTTCCTGTAACGGACCTGCTTGCTTGGACCATCACCCGGCTGGATCAACATCTCCCCAGGATAGAAGAACAACGAAACACAGATGGATGGACTTGAGTTTTTAATGCAAATGTTTTTTTTTCTTGTATCTATGGGACACTTATATGTCTCCAGCTCTATGCCACCATTGAAGGCAAACACAAGGCAAAGAAGAGAGAAGTTTAGTCAAAGGTGCTACCTTCAGACTCTCAAGATTCCGTTAATGTAGCCTTACAATAAGGTCGAATTAGCCCATTTAGTCGTATTTCCTGTCTCGTTTCCCTTGGAGGACTGACACAATGTCTGCAGGTTGTTCGAAAAGTGTGTGTGTGTGTTTTTTTTTTGTGTATGTATGTGTGTGTGTGTGTGTGTCCTCCCAGGTAAACAGACAGGAAATGTGACGAAAGGTGCGAATTCGACCTTATTTTAAGGCTACATTAACAGAACCTTGAAAGTCTGAAAGTAGCCCTTTTGACTGAATTTCTATCTTCTTTTTCTTATGTTTCCTTAAATGGGTGGCATATAAATGTCCCATAGATAGAATGTATGTATATGTTTATGTATTTATTTTGGTTGTCATATTCTGTTGTTAATTGTATAATTGATTTGATGATTGTTGTTTGCTACCCATTGTCCCTTGTTTGACATGGGCCCTTCTACAAATTGGATAAATAAATAAGTATACTTTGAATATTTTTCCTTCACTTGTTTTCCTTGCTCTTTTTTTTAATTTCATTATTTTTTTAAATCTGTATTTGTATTTTGGTTATTTCATTTCCAAATATAAATAAAGGTGCCAATATAAGTCTGTCTTTTGTGGAAAATTCTTTATTGCATCCATCTAGGGGATCTTCTGTCCATCAAAACTTTGAGTATAACTGAACTGAAGTTCAGTTTTTCCTGACTGAAGAAACAGTTGGGGAAAAATAAACTCATGGATTCATTGAGAACCTGGGATGGTAATAAATGATACTCTTTTTTTTAATACGGTCTTAATAACCCTAAGGAATGCTTTATAACAATTTGTAAAGCCCCAAAAGAACAAATATTTGTTTATTCGTTTGTTTTAAAAGCTTTCTATGGTACATCTATCCCCCAAAAGAATAAGATCGTAATAAACCTAAAGAATGCTTTAGGTTTATTACTCGCTATCCTAAACTACCACTTCTCACAATACTAGACCACACAATATCAACAAGTAGAGACCTTCAAGTTTCTAGGTTCTATCATATCTCAAATAAAATCTTAATAAACGTAAAGAATGCTTCTTAAGAATTAACAAAGAACTGGTTTCCTGGTTTGTTTGCTACATACATCACATCTTTGACAGAATTTTTGACAAGGGCATAATAGAGGGAGATAGATTAATCAACCTTTCTGCTGTTTTATGTTGGGATGAATGACAATGCCAGAAAGAACCTGGAAAGAATATCAAGAGACAATCAGGAATAAAATAATGCACCAATCAAGGAGATTCCTACTAACAGTAAACAGCCCAATCAAAAAATCTAAACCAGTCCCACTAGCATTGACAGGCCAAACCACTATATAAATAGAGAGCAAGCTCCACTCTCTACTAGCACTGATGATGTTACCTAGTTGGGTTAATGAAGCATCTGCAAGAAAACAACTCGGCTCAACAAGCACCGAAGAACCATCCTCTCTTACGATGATCTTAGAAGTATTTTGGAGTATAAAGAATATACACTGAAAAATAGAAGAGCTGAATGAGATTCTGATAGGTTACCCCAACTCAGGGGTGCTATTCAGCAGGTGCTGACAGGTTCTGGAGAACCGGTAGCGGAAATTTTGAGTAGTTCAGAGAACCGGCAAATACCACCTCTGGCTGGCCCCAAAATGGGGTGGGAATGGAGATTTTGCAATGTCCTTCCCCCAGGAGTGGGGAGGGAATGGAGATTTTGCAGTATCCTTCCCCTGCCACGCCCGCCAAGCCATGCCACACCACGTCCACCAAGCCACGCCCACAGAACCGGTAGTCAAAAAAAATTGAATTCCACCACTGCCCAAAATGTACGAAACATCTGCACAAGCTGCTGAAAATGCTTAACAAATTCAAATTCAGTGACAAAAATGTCCCAGATCTCAACAGCCTCCCTCACTATGCATTGGCTCCTAATCTTTTTTTTTTTAATGAAAAAGTCTAGCTCTTTGATATAGAAAACTATCCCACCCTCTGCAAGCAGCATTCTTAGTTTCCATCATTGCCTTGATTTCAAAGTAGGAGAGAATAGAACGCTTTATTGAGGAAAAAGAAAAACAGCCACCACTTCTAAACCCCAAAGGTGGTGTTATCTTCAGCTATGCTGTGAAATTATTTTCAGAAAGTAAAACCTCTTGTTGAAATAATAAGAAAGCACAGCTAGCTAAATGCAAATGTGTCTAGAATTAGAGAGCCTGCTTTGATAAGATATTACATATACACCCACTTTCGGCATGCCTGCTGCCCATTGTGATCAATTAATTTAACAAGACAGAACATTTAATTGCTATATTTCGGTGACTGTGTTCTCCAGCAGTAATTGGTAGCACATCGTTATAATTCTTAGCTCCGCCAAAATACTGTCTTTTTCACTCCCACTTCCTTCCTTTTTCTCATAGACAATTAATCCATGTAACAGGCACCAGCAAGAATTTCCATGCTTTATCAAACCTGCAGTGGTACATCATCAGTGAAAGCAGATTCAAGAACACAAAAACAATAGGCAAGACTGCAAAAGGGAAGTGCAAAACACTTGTGTGAAAAGACCAGTGTTGTTGAAAGCACAACAGAAACATTAGATCGTGTACAATCCTGATCTAGGAAATGATATGGAATTTGGCCAGCGTGTCACAGGCACTCTCACAAAATGGTGGCCAACAAGGTCTGTTGGATAAGGCCAGAAGCAAAACATTAGCAACAATTATCAGAAAACAAGACGGTAAGATTATTGTCCTCTCCCCTGTGTAACTTCCAAAGATATTTCTTGTCATTTTAAATGTATTGTTACATTGGATATACTTGCAAATAAAATACTAAGATTAAGACTTCTCTCCTATGTGGGAACATACAGGGGGCATATTTTTAAAATGATGTTGATCAGGGGTGGGTTCTAATTTTTTTTACTACCAGTTCTGTGGGCGTGGCTTATTTTGTGGGCGTGGCTTGATGGTCATGTGACAATTCTTTAGGATTTAGCAGAGCTACTGGTCTACCAGGCTTTTAACTGCTTGCAGAGCTGTACCGGTCTACCCATTTGTTTTTGGAGGCACCGGTCTATTCATTTGATTTTAGAGCGCACTGGTGTACCACCACACTGCCTTTTAACACTGATCAGCTGTAGGGCAGCCAGGGCCGGATTTAGATGAAAAGAGGCCCTAGGCTATTCCACTTATGAGGCCCTTTCACCTATAGTGAAAGTGTAATTTTAATTTTGCTAACAATTTGAATGTAGGCCCCTCTTGATCTTGAGGCCCCCTCTTGATCTTGAGGCCCTAGGCTGAAGCCTAGTTAGCCTATAGGAAAATCCGGCCCTGAGGGGAGCCCTTTGAAGCCCTGTGGCAAGAATTTAAACAGTTTTTTTCCTTCTAGCTGATCAGCTGGGACTCGGGAGGCAGCGAATAGATTGGGGGCAGGGCCAAATAAAAGGTAAGAATAATGTGGGTGGGCGTGAGAACCAGTTCAGTGACATCATATCGTCACCGCTACCGGCTCGGCTGAACAGGGCCGAACCGGAAGGAACCCACCACTGATGTTGATGCTAGAAATTGGCTTACCAAGGGGAGTCTGTGGATACACAGATATGCAGAATGCCCTACCAAGCATTATAGTTACTGTATTTTTTGAAGTATAAGACACACTTCCCCCGCCCCAAAAGAGGCTGAAAATTTGGGTGCATTTTATACTCTGAATGTAGCTTTTTTGAAGCTTTATTTCAGCCCTAACAAGGCGCTAGCGAGTGAAGTGATCTTCTGAGCTTTGCCTGCTCCCTCCGACTCTCAGTTGCACTTTTGAAGCTTTTATTCAGCCCTAATGAGGCGCTAGCAAGTGAAGCAATCTCGTGCTTTGCCTGCTTTTCTCATTGCTTCTCTCTCCAAAGATCAGCTGTGCTTTAGAAGCTGTTTTTTATCCTCAAGCAGGGGATAAAAAAAAAAAAAGCACGCACGCGCACTCAAAACCAGCAAACTAATGTGCTGAAGCTGACCAGACTAAGGATGCTAGCCAGATGAATACCTGGTAGGCAGATTTTTTTTCCTATTTTCCTCCCCCAAAACTAAGCTGCATCTTATACTCCGGTGCGTCTTATACTCCGAAAAATATGGTAAATAGGTTGACCCTCTCTCACTCCACTGTCTTGGTGTGATCTCAATTGGAACAAAGACTGACTTCAAGAATTTGGGTGTCTTTCATAAAACCCAACAATGACCTTGTGTTGAGAATCTAATATAGGGGTGTCAAGCACAAGGACCGCAGGCCAGATCTGGTCCACGATGTGATCGGATCCGGCCCACAGAACCATCCTGGAAAATGTAAGGACCTGATCCATGTCGCTTTGGCCCAGTCTACCCAATGCAAAGAGGAAACATGTCATCAGTTTGGGGAATGGCGTCAAGCTGGCCATGCCCACCCAGTTGGCCACACCCACCCAATCGGCCACACACGACCCGCTCGAGGTCAACCACAGCCCTGATGCGGCCCTCATTTTGCAGCACAGATTTTGTAGTCCTACAAAAGAAAATTGTTTCTGTTACAGAACCCAAATCAGCTGGAAGTAGAATTTTTACTTCAACACAAGCAATGGAATAGCTTCTTACCATATCCTTGAAGATGGCAGGTTAGTTTAGGAGTTTTGTTACAGGTCTTGGAACTTTAATGGGGAGGAATGCCTGACCAATTCAGGAGGAAATTTGGAATTACTGATGCTGCTACCACCATCTGCTACCTGCTACCTTGTTCTGTCTGATAATAAGACCAGCAAAAAGTCAGAGAAAAACCAAACTTACACTATAGTATTTTATAGTGACATTATCCATGAAAAGTATGAGTGGGCCAGTGGCCTAGAGGTGGAACTCTCGCCTCACAATCAGGAGGCTGTGAGTTTGATCTTAAGTAGAGGCAGATATTTCTCTCTCTGGGCACAATGAGAATATATCAGGGTTGAAATGCTACTGGCTGTGCCGCGCGATTTAGATTCGCTAGAAAGCAGGAAACCCTGCTTTCTAGCGAATCTAAATTGCATGGCATAGCTGTTCCCCTCCTCGCTGTTCTACTTACCTCTGAAGACTGAGAAAAGGCTTCTTAATCCTCTTTTTGCAGCACTGCACGGTAGCGCCTGCAGTGCACATGTGTGTGCATTTGGCGCACACTGCACATGTGCATGCAAATCAAACCGGTAGCAAAGCGGACCAATAGCAGACTTCAGAGCATTTCACCCCTAGAATATATCTGCTGAACAAAACTCTGCA